CGTTGGGTGGCGAGCACGAAGAAAATTGTGCCGGCCCACGGACATGCAGACAAAGTGGTTGCTTCTGCGTGGCGGTCAGTGCTTCTGCGTGTCAGAGGCGACTCCAAAGTCGAGATCTGAAATACAACAGGAAGATTCAGAGTGACCACAACACCAGAGCTGCATTATTCTAACTTGGAACTCGGGCCAGTAGTAGACGCGCCCGCCGAGCAATGGAGAAAGCGAAATCGAAGCAGGGATAGTGGACCTTCTACGGTGATGCCATTTTCAGTATTAAAACTGGAATAGAGCTGAGTGCCGAGGAAAGTCGTACTCAAGAAGATGCATTCAATCAAGACGCGGTCTGTGGCTGCTGCTGCAGCTTGGACTGCATTACATTGACTAGATAGTTCATGTTCTCCCGTTTTTTACCTATTGTTTCCTCGAGCGTCTCTAGATTGGTTCGGATGTAGTCTACTTTCGCAGAATAATGCTTTAAAGCCTGTTCTCGCGTCTGCGACATGGAAAATCAGCAGAAAAATTAGCATGGTGTGGTGGAAGTTCACCTTTTGGACGAAATAACCTGTCCCGACGTCGACGATGACATGGTCTGGGTCGGACAGCTTGCCAGGGACGTATAGTGAGTTTGTTAGCGGCACGAGGATCGTTTTGCCTGATTGGACGTCGATCAATCGCAGGGCAGCGGTGAGGAGGACTAAAGGCGACCTTTATTCGACGGTTTTATCTCGGCCACATTCTGGATGCACGCCTTGAATTTTGCCTGTGCCTGTTTCAGCTGCGCGAAGGAGTTTGTGAGGTGATTCAGTTCCTGGTGCCACGACGCGATCAGATGGTTCCGCGCGCGCGGAGAGCGTCCTTGATGTTCACCTCTTCGAGCTGCCTGCGGACATCGGCGAGCTGGGAGACGTCCAAGTCGGTAACACTGACTTGCTGAGACTGAGACATCGGCGGAAGGAAGGTCACAGTGTTGTGATGCTTTGTCACACGGCTCTTGTGCTTCGCTCCACGACCTTCGTTTTCTGTCCATGTCCTCTCTGGATTCCAAAGGACGGTATCCCCAAGATATAGGCAAGAAGCAATCCATTTCAATATGCACAACTTGCTACTAATTGAAACATACGCAGTTGCGATCTTTCATGCCTCGTTCCATCCTACACAAGGAAATATAATCGACTGGTCGTTGAAGGTAAACGATGGTGAGGGGACCCTCTTTTCCCGACGATTCAGCGTCTGACTGCCCCAAATCAGACCTGAGTCTGGATAATCTGGAGTTTAGTGCCCTGCCTAGTGGGCTCCATCTGGTCGAGCAAGATGTCGTGTGCGTTCTTGGTCCTTTTCCCTCCGGGCTGCTCTTTTGATCGACGGGGAATGTTTCGGCCTCCTTTTGTTGTCCCGGATCTCCGTGGTTCCGCCTCACCTTGAATGGCACTCTAAAACGGGTCGTATTTCGAGGCTTGATGCTGGCTGTCCCCACGTCCCACTGCCCAGCGTGCCATTCCCTTCATTGTGTCTCCCCTTAAACCATCCTCGTTCTAACCTCACCGTCAGTTACTTCTCCAAAGATGGCCAGCGTGGCGTCTGCGTATTCCGACGGCGCAAGACGGTCGATCAGGGACACAGAGGGTTCCGACTGTCGTCCCTTGGGATCCTCCTGGCCAAATCCGCTCGGCCACGGCCATGGAGACACACCGCGGCGCTGAAAGAGCTTACCACCCTCATCTACTCCCGCTTCGAGAGTTCTGCATCCCTAGTCCCAATCGAAGGCACATGGGACCCCGCTCGCGCCTTTTTCGAAGAACGGAAAGTGCGCAGGGCCGATCTCGGAGGGGCAGGAGACTGGAATGGGTGGAGTCATGAACTTCTGGATCGGGTGAGTATGCGCCCCCCTGCTTTGTGCAATGCCTCATCCTCCACTAGCTCGACAACGAAACCATGGAGCAGAACCCGACGCTCCACCTGCCGCATCTCCTGCGGATCCTCGGTCCATCCTCGTTGACGCTTTACAAGCACGTCGTCGGCCGGCGCCGGATCCTAATCTACACCCTGCCGCCGGTCGAGGCTGCGTCGATTCTCTGCCAGGTGGCGGCAGATATGGCCTACGAGCAGCAAGTAGAATACACGATGTCCCCCGGGTCGCCTTCCTCGCGCTTGCGTGGCAAGTGCAAGGATGGCATCAGCGTCCTCGGGATGGTGACGCTTAACGATTTAGATCGGCTACAAGCGGAGGGCACTACCGGCCGCGGCTGGGTCGCATGTACGTACTCTTCCCTCGGATCTCTCATTTCGATGCTGACGATTGCAGGCACGACCGATGCCATCTTCTTGGAGAAGCCGTCGTGCTACGACCTCCTGATCGATCTCACGACCTCGACGCCCAACAAGGCCACACGGCCGACCTTTTACTCGTCGCGGCCCGTGCAGCCTACCCCATCCCGACCACGCGGCCCAACGCACCGTCTCTCTGTCGTCCGCTTCTCGTGGAGCGACGTCAAGCTGGTGAGTACCCGCGTGCCCTAATTCTCACCGCATCTCATCATAGCACAGTGGAACGAGCTGAACCGCATTTTGGCCCTCGATGCCTCGGCGCACGACCACGCGTGCTGCTCCCTAGCCTCCCTCTCGCAGGACCCCACAGCCAAGTCCACGTCCAAGTCCATTACGGCCTGGACGGACGCGTGGCGCGTGTACGAGGATGTGTGCGTCATCTGCGCGGGGCTCTGGATGGGCCAGTGGCGAGGCAATTCGGCCGCCTCGTATTCGACGGCGGGCGGCGCGGAGAATTGGGGGGCCGTGCGGTTGGAGGGCGACGAGGACCTCACGCTGCGTGCGCTGGGGGCGGACGGCTACGTGCGGAGCGTGGGGATGGGGATCGAGGGCGGGCCACGGGTCGCGAGTGGGAGTGGGAGTGGGACGAGCAAGACGGCGAGGCGCGCGAGCGCGGTGTCGTGGTCGAGCGGGCGGGCGACCGTCACGAGTCCCGCGGCGCCCTCGCCCACCCCCACCAGCGCCAAGGGCAAGGCGCCCGCGGGGCCCGACGAGGACAGGGACGACACGGACGTACGGAGGGTCGGAGAAGGACAAATCCTCACGACGCTGTCGCTCCTGCAGACCCTGCACGCCCACACGGCGTTCCAGCTGTCAACGCTTGAGACCTTCCTACCGAAGCCCATGCCCACGGACCCCGCGCCGAAGGACATCGCCTTCACGGCGAAAGACATGGCGGCGTTCGAGCTCGGCCCCCTGAGCGGGATGGACGCGCGATACTTGGAGTGGCTGGCGGGGGAGTATAGCGGGGGCGCGAGGGTGGTGGTGCGGAGGGGGTGGAAGGACGTGCTCGGTGCGGTTTTTGGGTATGGGTAGAGTGCGTCGCAGAGGAGAATAACATATCGTATTTATCGCTAATTTGTTGCATCTAGTTACTACTGCTTATACCCACCTATACCCACCCTGTCAATACATACGTCTTGGAGCTTTGGATCTGAGGAAGCCGAGCAACTCAGGAAAACTAAGTTAACCCATACACCATACCAGAACTTTTGATATTCCTCTTTCGCGTTGGTCTCAGGTCAGATATACGCTCCGTAAATCTCTTAATACTGAGTCCTTTGCTTGCTTGTTTTATGAGTTCCTTTCGAATCGGCCCGATAAGTTAACCGTTACACAATACCGGACTGTTCATACGCGTTCACATGGGCTTGTTGGATTTCAGGTGAGTCTCTGCAACTATGGTGATCATTTCTGACCTCGATGCAGGCTTATCTCTTTCGTTTCACTCAAAAGAGTTCCCTTCGAACCGGCTACAGAGCGTTATTTTTGACTCGAGGCTGATCGAACGCTGATCATGTCGTTTTCAAACCACACACCAACTCACAGGAAGGGCCGATGGACGCAATAATGGTGGGCCAATATTTCCGCCAATATTCAGATAATATATCGTCAATACAGGGTGTATTGGCCAGTATCGGCAGCTAAATATTCGTCCCAAACTCCGGTGCAAGCTCCCCGTTTCCAAGGCCGGAAATTATTTTGCAGGACTATCGTAGTCACTTTTGGGGGTGATTTTTGGTGGTCCTTATTGGACAAAACCTTCAAATTCAGGTCCCAGAGACGATTTTTGCTTGTTGGTCACAGTTTTTTTGGCTTTTGTCCAATAAGGGCCTTCATAGTGGTCCAACTCCGAGGCACGGTCTCTCGATACATTCCTCCGCAAAGATACTTAGAAAAAAAAAAAAAAAAACCGTCGCTGCGCTCCGGTTATTTCTTGTGGCTACTGTACCGACCGTCGATCAAAGTTAGCGTGTCCGGCATGGTGTAGCGGTAACATAGGCTTTGATCTTGTTATTTCAAACGCTCCAAAAAAAAAAAAAAAAAGGAATCCGTACATCAGCCGGCCCCCCTGGTCCGAACGCTGGCACAGCTTCACGTCAATCAAACCAAACTACATCGAATGTGGTTTCCAGGGGCGTCTTAACATCCTCTACAACCTACAAATGAATCCGGTCGCACAAACTTCGTCGATAGTTCTCTGGCACCCAAGTGGCCAACTAACTGGGGTGGCCAAGTAAGGGGTCTCCAATAGTATCCTCAAGGAAAATTGTTCTCCATCGAAGAGAGTCAGTAAACATGGAATTAGAATATAAAACTTCCGAGAAAAAACCACTGGCATACCAGACGTCTAGAATGCCCTCCCCCTCTTCTTTTTGGGCCATTTTCGGACTGAGTGCATTTTTTCAAAAAAAAAAAACGGTTTTGATGGCCATCAAAATGTGATTACTTTCCCATCACCCATCTTGCACCGATGCCGGTGGGCTCCCCGCTGCTCGGAAAATCATGGAAATATTCTGGTACCTGCGGAGGACATCGGAGACCCGAATCATTGATGCCGAGAAAAGTTTAATGACACAGACCCTAACACGATAACGTGTTATCTGATTTCAATGTGTTTCTGATCGTTCGGCCTTTCCCCCCTCCAGGGCCACCTTCTGCGCGACTTCAGCACCTCCGGTATGGTGTAGCGGCTAACATTACCGCTTTTCAGCGCAGGATAAACGCGAAGTTTAACTAATAACACTGACGCGGTAGCCCGGGGTTCGATTCCCCGTACCGGAAAGATGCCTTTTTGAAGCACCCTCGTGCTCATCTTTTTTTACCATTTTAGATGTTCTCCGAAGGCTGTGGAGCTCCGAAGGTTGTGGAAGTTCCACATGTGACCTACGCGGGACACGAGACAGAGTCAAACTCGGACAAACAGTTTGATACACGTGTTACGAGTCCTAAATTTATTTAGACTCGTTCTTGTCAGCGCAGCGTCCGCGAAAATTTGAATCACGATTCAGCCCTTTTTGATTGAAGTTGTCGTTATTTGTTGTTGCATTGATGCACGTGCTGATGCATTTTTCCTCGCCTTTTTTTCCGCTGTTTCAGCCCTTTTCCTTCTGCAGCACGTGTTCTCCTCTCCACGTGTTTTTTTTCTCCTCAACTTTCTCTTCCGAGGCCTCCAATCCTGGCGCGATACTCGTGCTCGTGGCAGATACTGATACTAAATATTATGTAATATTTCACGTGATCTCAACGCGTCAATTCTTTCTGAGCCGAAACATCCAACAACAAAAGATGCTCAGCTGGTTGCTTTGCCTCAGAAACAATTATTGGCAGACAGCCAAGGTGTCCATACATTATATCAGGCCATTCTGGCCAGTAAGTCACAGGTTTGTTATGCTGTGACACCTATAAAGAATCAACAATCTTAGATAGGAGCTTGATACTCTAGGAGTGCCACAGACTTGAAAAAAATGGCCAGGACACAAAATATGGTAATTGTAATTCCCTTGGATCCATTTTCATGTTCCACAGGGTTCATTTATTTTCCTGTTGGCAGAATCCCAAGAAAAGGTACTGAATGATGTATCAGTGTTGTCTGGGAGTGCTGCGGGCCTAAAAAAAAAATGAGGATTACATGAGAGGAAACCCTATAAGGTCAAGCAAAATTTCTTTGGTGGAAAGGTTTGGCAGAACTCCCAAGTTCAGTTTGCATTGACATCATAAGTGTGAATCTCAGATGGTTCTGGTGGTGCCGCAGGCAGGGAAAAAAAGCTTTCTATATGTGAAGGGCATGGATTTCCAAGAACCCACTGTTGCCTTTAAGTTCCTTCAGTGATACTTTGAGGGTAGAGCAGCATTGATTTATTTAGTCCACAAGGAACTTGGTTTGAGAGTGCTGCAGGCTGAAAAAAATTGTTTACCACATTGGAATGGTCAGTTTTGAATACCGAGATTCTAATCAATCCCACCTGTAGGGTAAATATGCTATGAGAAGGTAATAGAGATGATATACCCAGAAAACTGGCCTGGGATCTAGAAAACCCAGGAGGTGTAGATGCTTTACAGGGACAGACAGAGGATAGGGTTGACAAAATGAGGACTGGGAGATTGGATCCAATACTCCAGGGTAATTTGGAAGATAATGAAGAGACGGTGAGGTGAAACAGAAAGAAAAGCCAAAATAGAGAGCAGTGGGGATTGAACTCAAGGAGGAAAAAAAAGCAAGTGACACACTAACCAACTGAGCCAAACCATTGATATAAGGGCATCTGAAGTCACCCGACTCAGCAGCTATCCGCATTGGGAATATTTATTATAATTTTTATTTTTTGACCACAGACATCAGTATCGGGCCAGCTTCCTTGCTTTCAGCCCTTTTCCTTCTGCAGCACGTGTCTATTCTTTCTCCTTGACTTTCTCTTTGTGGCCCGATACTGATGTCTGTGGTCAAAAAATAAAAATTATAAAAAATATTCCCTATGCAGGTAGCTGCTGACTTTGTATGCCTTTGTATGAGTGGTTTGGCTCAGTTGGTTAGTGTCTGTGCTTTCTTGCTTCCTTGAGTTCAATCCTTGCTGCTCTCTTATTTTGGCTTTTCACCTTACCGTCTTTTCATTATCTTCCAAATTACTCTGGAGTATTGGATCCAGTCCTCATTTTGTCAACCCTATCCACTGTCCCTGTAAAGCATCTACACTTCCTGGGTTTTCTGGATCCCAGGCCAATTTTCTGGGTATACCTTCTCATAGCTTATTTACCCTACAGGTGGGATTGATTAGAATCTCAGTATTCAAAACTGACCATTCAAATGTGGTAAGCAATTTTTTTCAGCCTGCGGCGCTCTCAGACCAAGTTCCTTGTGGACTAAATAAATCAATGCTGCTCTACCCTCAAAGTATCACTGAAGGAACTTGAAGGCAACAGTGGGTTCTTGACAATCCATGCCCTTTGGATGTAGAAAGCTTTTTTTTCCTGCCTGCAGCACCACCGGAACCATCTGAGATTCACACTTGTGATGTCAATGCAAATTGAACTTGGGAGCTCTGCCAAACGTTTCCAACAACGAAATGTTGCTTCCTCTCATGTAATCCTCATTTTTTTTAGGCCTGCAGTGCTCCCAGACAACACTGATACATCATTCAGTACCTTTTTGTTGGGATTCCGCCAACAGAAAAATAAGTGAACCCTGTGGAACATGAAAATGGATCCAAGGGAATTCAAATTGCCATATTGTGTGCCCTTGAAAGTCCTGGCCATTTTTTTTCAAGTCTGTAGCACTCCCAGAGTATCAAGCCCCTATTCAAAATTATTGATTCTACATGGGTGTCACAGGATAACAAACCTGTGACTTACTCTCCAGAAAGGCCTGATGTGATGTATAAATACCTTGGCTATCTGCCAATAATTGTTTCTGAGGCAAAGCAACCAGCTGAGCATCTTGTTGTTGGATGTTTCAGCTCAGAATCGACGCATCAAGGAAATATTACATAATAATTAGTATTAGTATCTGCCAGTATCGTACCCTTTTCCTTTTGCACCATGTGTTTTCCTCCTCAACTTTCTCTTCCTCTGAGTCCCTTTCACTGTCACTTTCCAGCCATTTCCTTTCTGCAGCCCGTGCTGTTATCTTGTCGCCTCTTTCGTTCACTCTCTTCGCTCTATGGCTCTTTGTGTGTGCGTTTTCAGTGTTCTCCCCAATTTTCTTCCTATGTCTTTTTCAGGTTCTGGCCTGCGTCGTAACTCAGCTAACCTGCCATTCCATGTTCTTCTCCAGTCAGATCTTCTATTGTTTTTGTTCTCTTGCTGAATGACTTTATATTTAGTTCAGCTCCCCTTTGTCTTTGTTGTCTGACCTTCCTGACTCCCCTCTCGTTTCTCCTCCTTGTACTGCAAGTCCCACCCTGTTTTCTTTGCCCTTTCCTTTTCTTTGGCATCTCTCCATCATTGACCCTCATGTCTGTTCGATGTAATGTTATGAATGAGGATGTCCTTCTGGTTTGTCTCTCCTGTTCTCCTTCTGCTTTCTTTATACTCAGAGTCTTACAGACAACCAATCCTTTCCCTCATCTTCCCTTGCCTCTACTCACGCTGCAGGCATCACTGTTGACTGGTTGTGCCTGTTTAGCGGTGATGGCCATGTGCAGCATTTCTTTAGCCACCTATCCCAGTGCTGCAGCTGTCAGCCACTCCCTTCATGAATTGGCCTATGACCTTAGTCGCTATGTTACTTCTGACTATGATTCTCATCTAGAACATTTGTTGTTTGGCTCCTCTGTATTGCCGCAGTCTGTGTACTACTGTACTATTTCGACCGTAGGTTCACGCCCTGTCACCCGTCACTGAGCAAGTTCACTGGAATCATAGTTCATTCCTCGGCAATCAAGCAAAAATTCCCATAAATGGTAAATCGGCAACTGCCGGATCAAAGATTTTCACGTTTTTCAGCCTTTTTGGCCTCAAAACTTCTCTGTCACCGTCACATGTACCAAATAGGTTCAGTTCACGACCCTATGTCACCCGTCACCTGAACTTACGGTCGAAATAGTACAGTATGCTGGTGCGCCTCCGTTCCATCACTTTGTCTTGAAGTCTAATCCTTTTTAAGATGGTCTGTATCTTTCTGAAGTGCAACATTTTTTTTGTCTGCTCCTCATCTCTCAAACGCACCTGGAGTACTTGGTTCTCCTTATGGACACCCTTTCTCGTTTACCTACTATATGATTATTCCTGTCTTTGCTTTCTTACATACTTCAAGTAACTAGTCTGTCTATCTTTCCTCTGATGTAAAGCTATTTTCTTCTCTTTCTTTTTCATCTCTCCCTTTGTGTTGCTCCAATGGCCATTGCACCTGTGGCTGTTGTAGAGGAAAGGGTTGTCCAGGGGGTGGACTCAGAAGCGCGGGTCGTGCCAGGGAAATGTATGTATGAGTGCCGTAAAATGCTGAAAGCCCAGGGAGTCGAATCTAGAGTATGAGTAGAGGGGAATAAAGACTTGGAATATGATAAACTTAGCACAGATGGATCACAGACACTCAGAAGTGGTCAGGGAGGAGACAGGAAAACTTGATGGTGGTGGTGGGAAGCAAGAGGCGAACCCCTGTACATGACAGTGGTAACAACCGTAAATATGATCGGTCCAAATATAAGTAAAGAGTCCATAGGTATGGTGCCTCTGCTGGAGCAAAACCCTCGTCGTTGAACAAACCGGGAGCTACACAAAGACGGAATAGGGAGAGCACATTGTGCCACTCAACGGTGACTTGTGGGTGCCCAGACCACAGTCAGCTCAATCCCCGGCATAGTCCGAGAAGGCTGAAGACTTGGATATTCACTTGTCGTGTTGGTGTACGTAGATGAAATGGAAAAATGTCTGTAAAGAGCAGATAGGAAAGTAAATAAGTGAGAGTGCGAGTGGAAATGCCAGATGAGAAACATATCAATCGAGAACCAATATTTGTAGCTGTGCTTGAAGACTCGGTGAAGAGACGGTGGAAGGAGAAATAAGGAGTGTGTGCAACGCTCAAAGAAATTGAGGATGTCGGTGATAAGCATGCAAAATGGCCAAGCCTGAAATTTACCAATTTCTGCGTCCTTGTTCCACTTACTAAAGTGGAACCAGAACTTATCTATATCTTGCCCATAAAGAGCCATAGAGAGGTCCGATCTGTTGGCTAAAGGCACTACGCCTCTAGTTACATAGTAAAGACTTGTCAGGTCACCGATACCACGAGGGTCAACGGCCTGGGGAGCTGCTGTGTATTTACGCGTAATTCAAAGTCCAACCATTTG